TGGCTGGTTGTAAAGCAGAAATCTGATTACTGTCTGATTGGATTACTGACCAAATCTGATTTTTTGCAGTTATTGGATTATTAAGTGCATGTAAACACACAGTTTTATGATAGTTTGAGATAAAAATGTATGGCCTAAAATGAACTTTTAAAATACATGCAATAGATACATGCAAGGTGTCATACAGCAAAATGAAGTTATTTTTTTTTTAGATTTTATCTCTATTTTACCATCATAAATAATACATATAAACATTAGAAGACACGTGTAGGTTCACTGGTCATTTTGGATTTTAAATAAAATGCCTGTATCTGCATTGTAGGTATTTCAGTTCTACCACTGTAAAGAAATATGAGTATAAGTTTCTCTACAATGGACCGTTTCACATCACACCACTGGGAATGACTTTGTTTACATCTCAATGACAATTATTCTGAAAAATTGATGGAATTCCGCTTTAATAACACTGCCTCTAGACTAGGACTAAACATATGTTATAACAGATAAGAAATGTTCAGCCTCTAAAGAAATCTATATTAAAAGGTACAAATGCATCATTTGACACATACGCTTTTTTCCTAGCTATGTGTTTGTCTAACAGTCTGCAATTTGTGACTAGCAGCTCAAACGTTTACATACTGTTGATTGGCATACCTGTTGTTCTTATTGTGAATGTTGAAGAGGAGGAAAAACATTAAAGAAAAGTCTCTCTAACGAACGTCTGGGTTTTATATCCTCTCTGGGTTTTGTATTAAACGTGGCTCTGTGCTGATTGTGTTAACGTTAGCAGGTTTGGCACCTGTGAAAACCAGACAAAACCGAATAATCAGCCATATAATCTCAGACAGGAGCCAAGAGGAACACGCTGACGCTGCAAAGTCCCGCAAGCAGGTTTGCCCACCTCTGCTTCAGGTCCACGGGTCAGGGACGTGGATGAGGGGTCAGCGGACCCGAAGCTACGCAGCACAATGCGAGGAAGCTTTTCCAGGAAGCTAGTAGGATGTCCATTTTATGACCTCTTGCACTCCACTCAAATGTGCCATGAGGCACCAGGGAGCCCTGGTGTGGAAGATACCTCCATTTTGTGTGTTGATATGCTGTCAAGACTGGATGAGATGGGCTGGTGAAAACAAAGGCTCGAGATGTTCAGTTGTTAGGCCAGAGAAAACATCTCCTGAAATAACACGGCTCAGATTGTGCCCGTTGTCCTGCGCTTTGGAGTCTTTGTTAATGACAGGAATGGAGAAAGATGAAGATACTCTTTCACTACAGTTCCAGAAAATACGAGAAATATGTCGCTGCTGTCAGAAGAAAACCTCGTATCTCCATTTTTATGTTTTCTAGTTTTTGATAATTTAAAAATCTGTTGTTCTTTACATTGTGTGTAAATTTCATGAAGAATGGACCAAAAGAAACGACCCAAAATGACTTGGAAAAAAGTCTGGTTCCATTGACTTACATTAAAAGTAAAGTAGGGTTTTTTCCTTCTCCTGTAAAGTCACCATTTTGGAGATTTTTTTAACGCAACAACAGCGATATGTTTGAAAACATAGTTTTACAGGCTTGGACATAAGATTGTAGGAAAAACCTTTTGATTGGTATAAAATAGAGATGCCACACTTGTTTGTCAGGTATTGATATTTGGCCTAATATCAGCTGTAAATGCTGAATCGGTGCTCACACTGTGTGATGTGATGTCAGCAGTGTAGCTCTTCCTGTGGGGTAGCTGAGTGAGTAGTTTGAGCATGTTAGCCTAGCATTAGATGCTCATCTTAAGCAAAATGCTTTAATTTAAAATAGCTCATTTTAAAGCTCAGTAGTTTTTCAAGAAGAAATACTGGATGGGTATTGGCCGATACTCACGGTCAATATCAGAAAGGTATCGGAAAATGGAAAGTGGTATTGTGCCATCTCTGCCTTTATTCTTTTAAGGTTATTTACACTTTAAGAAGATTCTTTATACAGGGAGATTCACTCGAAAGAGGCCCCGAATATTCTGTAATAACTCTCGCTCTGAAGGAAACAACGTGCAACGTGCTCCTCAGCATATGGAGCTTCGAACAAGCCGGGATGCTCCTGCGTCGGAGTGATGAGGTAGGCGCCGGACAGCCGTCACAACGTTTAACCTCCATCTGCAACTTCCAGGTGCAGACCCCCCGTACCCCTTCATGTGTCTGGCAGAAAACGGAGATCACTTCCAGCATCGCATGTAATGCAATTGATTACACATACATCAAGGTCTGTAGCGTATTTTTTTGGTTTAGATTGCTTCATCCTAACAGGAGTTAGAATATTCAGGGCCTCTTTCGAGTGAATCTCCCTATAGATGTACCCATTATTTAAAAAAACGTTTCTTTAAAGCTGCACTTTGTAACTTATTTTGTTAACTGAAAAAAAGTATCATTACTGAGTCAGAAGGAATAAAATACACGCTAAAATATGGTGTGCGTGCACTGCTGTAAGTCATCCTATAAAGCCTGAAATAAGAATAAATAATAAATTTCATGGGAGACTTTTGGACCACGTCATATGTCTTGACACATTTACGTCACGCACAAGCTCAAGAAGGAGTTACAAAACGTTCTTCTGCATGTTGCCTGCAATTATACATTTCCACCAGAGAGGTCTCCAATTCCCCAAATCTTAAATAGTGCAGCTTTAAAGGATCATCCATTGGGAAGTGCTTTATGGAAGCAAAAGTGGTTCTTATTAATGATGCATAATGATAGAATCATATGGGCATTGGCCCATAATTGCTTAAAAACAATGGGCATCACAGATTTGACCGATATTTCAAACCAATATTTAGTTATGTATATTTTGTACTCCAGAACAGTGGGATGTTATGCTGCTGGTAGTTTCGCGAGGCCAGGCGTGATCTCATAATGATGAAACACACATCTGGGGACACCTTGTTAATCTTTTGTGGCTGGTTTGCAGTGAAATCTGCTGCTAATAACTCCCTCTAAAAGCTGCCCTAGAATTCCAAAAGAAAGCTAGCTAGCAAACGCTATTGTGATATGTTTCCCACATGTAGTGAATTTTCCTCTCATGTGACGCGTCTACATGCTTTGTTGGACTTTGGCCCAATCCCATTTCTTCTTTTTTCCCCCTACCTAGAACAGAGTTACAGGGGTAGTGGTTGAATTCTTGTCCTACGAAATGGGACCCTCACAAAAGAGCTATAGCGCTGCTCTGTAGGCGACCCTGCCAGTCTGCAGTGACAGCAGAGGAGGGTCAAGTTCAGCTTCTCACTGCTGGGCTTTAGTTACATTTAGGGCATCGTATGCCTTCAAAGAGGGGGCAATTATTTATTATCACCCACCCCTAATTCTTCAGTGATATGAAGCTGAAGTCAGATATTCACCAGCTTCTTGTTTCAATTTTCCTGTTCCACCTTAAATGGTGCAGCAGTTACATTATGGCACTTCTAGCGTCAGAACTGTTGGACTATTTAAGGTGGAACGGGAAAGTTAGCTAGCTAGCTACAGAGACATTAGCATGCTATTAGTGATTTTTTATGCTTGTTATGAAGAAAAACAACCATAATACACTGAAACTACATTAAACTAAGATAATACAGTGGTTATCATAATTTTTAACAGAGTAAATTCTCACATTTGTGGGTTTCTTTGATCTCTTGTTCAGCCATCTTGCCAGTTTTTCTTTTTTCTCATAACTCTCTGTTTGGAGTCTCTGAAAAACCTCTGTTTGGAGGGTCATGTAGCCCCAACACTTCACCCGACCCCTCTATCTCAACAACAATCAGGACACCCTACCCCTAGACGTGAACATGCAAAACAGCGGGCTAAGGGCTCAGTGGCAGGGGCGAGGGGTGAAATGGGATTGGGCCTTTGAGTGCGTTGGTGTTTAACTGGATTGGAATTTTCACATCCCTAGTTCTTATATGGCATCACTCCAAATAAGCAGCGTATACACAGGCCTTAAAATAGCAAGCAAAACACAACACATCAGCACGTATGAGACTTTAATCACTGCATTGTAACATTTTCATACTGTTGGTTATTATAAGTTTACCTTTTTTGCAAGGAATTAATGGAATTTTTTACTTTATAACACAAAAACTCATTCATTTTCAAACACACTGAAATACAAAAATAAACATCTAGTGCAAAATCTCATTCAGAAAACTGTCAGTTCTTCTTTTCCTTCATACCTCCACTGGTTTGAAAGAGCAAAGTGCTATCATTTTTCAATTTAAACTCTTTGTAATGATCATTTAGAGCTTCGTAAAGCACTGCGGACGTCAAGCGAGCATCGTTAACTGAAACGTTATTTGAGTGCGGATATACTGAGTGCAGGTTTGCTGTCCAGTTGGCTCAGAACAGGTCTTAGCCAGCCCAGCTCGTGTACAGAACGTGCCAAAATAGGACATGGTAGTGTTTCGTGTTTCGAGTGAATGAATCCACTGACCAAAACAGGCAAAGGTGATCATGCAGGCTGAAATACACACTCGCAAGTGTTTCTTACTGACCTCACTTACGTCACATCAGTGGCAGAATGTGGATGTTAAAAACCCAGGCAGACTCAAGCTTATGTTTAACTTCTTTATGCACAATCAGTGTGGAATTATTTTTGATCTCTTCGTATGCAGAGCACTGTGCAAAAGTCTGAGACCACCCCCTCTTTGTTTATTTAATTCCCAGTCAAAATGGCCATTAAGTTGTTCATTTTTCAGGTGATATTTCTGAGGATATTAGATATAATTAGATCATCTTGCATAAGGAAGAGGAAGGTCAATGGAAAATAACAGGATCTTCCAAAAACTGAAGTTCGAAAAATGATTGAAATATATAGAAAATGGGACTCTTAACAACCACGCAAGACCTACAGGCACTTACAGCTTTCATCTCTGAGAGAGAGGAGAAAATCCAGCTGCTTCAGGTCTGAAAACATCACAGGTGTTTCTGTCCATCCTTCCACTGTGAGAAGACGACAATGTGCAAATCAAGTAAATAAGCTGCTGGTGTTCTCAGAACAATGGACTGACCACCTCAGAGTCCAGACCTCAACATCACTGTGTTTGGGTTACTTGGATCATGAGAAACAAAAGATGTAACCAATTTCTAAGACTGAACTTTATAAGTGTAAAATATCCCAGCTTTGTGCTTCATGACCATTTTGACTGGCGATTAAATAAACAAAGGGTTTTCTCCGACTTTTCCACAGTGCTGTATGATTTCCTGGCATTTGATCATTTTGATGTCTTTGGCTTTGAGCATCGTCTCCTCACAGGTCCCTCCAACAAGCGACTCCAATCACAGTCCCATCTGCCTTCCTCCTCACTCTGCATGGTCTCCGACTACGGCCGCCAAGGTTTGTGTGATTTTGCTTCCTTTGGTCCAGCTTCAACACCGGGCTGCCGTTAGTGACTGACCCCATTAGCTTCAGGCTTCTCAGCTAGAGAGGTTGTATTGGTGGCTGCTGTTTAGAGACAACACAACACAGAATCCTCAGTCAAATGGACTGGAATTTTCTGGGAATTTTATCCATTTTAAACAGGGTTAGTTGTAAATAAGCTCTTTTTTGTTAACATTCAGGATGAGTTTATTATTTGACATGATTTCTATTTACTCTAGAAGAAGAATGTATGGCATTGAGGGGAACTGTGGGTAATGGGGCATTCCAGCCTAGCATTTCATGTGAGCAAAGCACATAGTTATGGGGGGATAACATGGACATATATGCACTGTTACAACAGGATTTTGTACTAATCCTAGTACAAATCATACAATGTACAATCCTTGTTATTTAACAAAGATACTGGAAAATATGGAGGGCAGATCTGCCAACATGAAAAAAAAATAATATTAAAAAATAAGTTACTCTGTAAATTAATAAATAAAATAACTAAATAATGTATATTCCTTATTTTGATTGTAATTATGCACATTTCCTTTTTCTGCAATTATGTATTTCTCAATTTATCTATTTCTTAATTTTATTTTTTAATGCTTATGTTCATTTTCATATTTTTTTCTGTGTCTATGTTTTTAACAGTTGTTTGCTTTATGTATTGATGCATTAATTCATTTATTTTTTTCATTAATTCATTCCTGTATTTCTTCCTTCATATGATAATGAGGGGGCGTGTTTTTCACGTTCAAGCTTAGTAATCAAGCCCAGGAGGAGAGCTGATTGAACTCTTTTACCAACTCCATAAAGAGCTGCACAGACAGACAAACCTGCCAATAAATAACTTTCGATGGCTTCCACAGGCCGTATGTGAGAAGGACGTCCAAATGTCTGGGTGATCTTGATTTTGCAGACAAAGTTGCTGAACCACCTCCTCCAAAGCTCTGAACACTGCAGGGTCGACCTCTGAATCAGCAGAGGCAACTAAATGGACCAAACTGTCCCCACAGCCTCCAACGGGACAGTAAATAATCCGGACCTGCATTTTCAGCCAGATCAGCCGAGACTCTCAGATCTCTGTCTGTCTGCTGCCTGTAAGCAGACATTACTGTACTGTGTTGTCTTGAGTTACCACTGATAGAGCAACACATGAACAATCGATCTACAGAATCTGACATCGATTATCCAATAGGACCATTAAGACACCGTGACATCATTGATTGACAGCCCCCAAAATAAACAAATACAAAAATTAGGAGTGGGAATTACTAAACAGACATATAATTACATACAAGTAAATGCAGACATTAATTTATGTAAGGTTTTATTTATTAATATATTAATTTTTATGTATATTTATTTTTAGATTTATCATTATTCTTTGTAATTCTAATTCATATCTTGATTTACTGAGTCATTTATTTTCAAAGTTTATTTATTTTTCATTTTGGCAGATCTGGCTCTTCATATAAAAGAGGCTGATCAGTAACATTGTGACTGTGTGGTTACTTTCTGTCATATAATCATGAACTTGCACCAGCTACACATTTCGCTGCCTGGTCTAATGAAGTGAACGTGCGCTTTATACGGTTGTTCTTACAAAGTACATTCAAAAAGAAGAACAAGACCCCAACATGGACAAACTGAACTTATGGTTCTAGTTGTAGTTCATTTTCTACCTTCTAAAGCGACATCTGGAACCTCTATAATAACCACAATTAACAACGTAATGGTCTTTGTGGTCATTTTGTCATTCTAAAGTGTCTATTCTGGCCCTGGCTAATTAGCTCCCTCGCTTGCTTGTTAGCTAACCTTAGTGGCCGATATGAAATTACATACACTTCACCGTTCTGTGCTCACACGAATGTCTACACTCACACAGGATTAAGTGTGGAATCAAACAAAGCTTCATTTTTTTCTCTGTCGAGTGTGAAATTATGAGCCAAACCTCTCATTCTGTGGCCTCTAGCATAAATGCTAATAGCATTAGCTTCTTAACTAGCTCGTGTCCCCTTGTGTCGAGCTCTCTACTAAGTCATAATTCTAGAAACAGCATTTACCACATCATGCCTTCCTAGTTTACATTCTGGTGCACTTATTAGTCACATAATCGTGCTTGGTAACTTCATTTTCATCTGGAAGAGTAAAGAGTTCGCTAAATTGTTTCAACTGTTACCAAAGACAGAGGATCATATCACTGCATTGACATTACAACGTCAAACATGGCACGATTTTACCGTTACTGCCCATTTATGCCTGTTATGTTTATATTTATTATAAATTGTGCTGTTTCATGCTGACTGGATGCGAATTATCCACCCGGACGTATATCAAAGCGTACAGCGCAGCACTGCATCCCTCAGCCTCAACCGTTTGCCCTGATTTAGTCGTCTCCAGTTCCACCCACTAGTCAAGACTCCCCCAGTCACACAATACCACCAGCACTAGGAGGTCGAGGCTAGCACAGGCTTCCTCCGAGACCTGAGAAGAGCCACCGCATCTTTTCGAACTGCCGCTCGGGCAACGCCAGACAGCCGAATGCTTGGAGGAAAGCGCCAACGGCCAGATCTACCCACCCAGAGAGCGAGACCAATTGTACTCTTTTGGACTTCTGGCTACGGATGGCTGTCCCTTTTTGTGTTTTTGTCCAGTGTTGCCTCACTGCAATTCCCAGCACGCATCAGACAAATCCCTCATTCAACCAGCCTGCCTTTAGATCCTCCCCAAAGTGCTTGCAGTTTTTCAAACGTTCCTCCCACCTTCAATATACATCATGAGAAAGGCTTTTTCCTGGGATTTAAACCAGAAAACCTTGCTCCTGAGACTACAGCGACACTGTCGTGGGAGGCAAGCAGACATGTTCACAACAGATGCAGCGATTTTTTTCATTTTATCTGTAATGCCTCTTTATTAAGGAGAAACAAGGAAAAGCGAGAGTACCTGTCCTGTAATGTTTGTGTACATGCTGCACTAAGAGCAGCACCAGAAAGATCGTGAAGCCCATACAGCCGAAGATCATACCACACAGCAAGAAGCTATAGCTGCCGTATGAATTGATGACCTGTGTGAGAGAGGAGTGTTAGGTCAACACTGTCAAATCAGCAAATATTAAGTTACTATCACACTCTACACACACAGAGGGCCACTGTCTCCCTACCGATCCTACGAGCAGCTGCAGGAGCATCTCCCCCATCCCAGCACAGGTCACGAGTACCGTAGTGGCGCAACCTTAGAGAGGAAAAGCATACAGTTATTCGTGCTGTTCAAAGGAACAGTTCACTGAGGTAATTCACAGAGTTGCACCGTTACTTCAAATACATTTAGCTCTGACTGTCTGAAGTTTCCGTCTTTAGCTTTGAAGCTGATAGCAGTTAAGTAATTGACAGTTACAGACCCCAGTTAGCATTTATGCCTAAATCCCCACATGCTTGCCTCAGACCATGCTGTTAATCTCTAACAGAATTGCTGATGTGGGTTCCGACACCCTACGACGTGCTGTTATCTAAACACATGGACAAAAGTACAATACACATCGAAAAAGTTTATGAGAACCTGCTCATCCGACGTTTCCTAAGAAATCAAGGATATTAATAGGGTGCTGGTTGCCTCTTTGCTGCAGAAACAGCTTCTACTCGATGTTGGAACACTGAACATTCCCACTCTTTTTAGGAAATCATTTTCCAGGACATTTGGACTTAAAGCACTGAACTTAGAGAGGAGAATTACCGCTCCCTAATGCCTTCTGGGTTTCTCAAACACTAGAGGGCGCTCCTGAGAGAGTCCAAAATGAATGGGCCAAGATGGAGCATTTGAGCAAAATCATAGTTTATAAATGCTGAAACATTTTTAATGTCAAAGAATTCATTCATTTCCTGAACAGCATAAAACATTTTCACACCGCTGTTATATTTTAAGAGCTTTCAAACTCGAGTTATAGGAGTTTAAAACCGCGCCTCATGTACGTTCATGACGTCTGTGAGCGCGAACAGCCAGAAGGTTTCCTGGTTAAAACACCTAATATTATTAGCTAATTAATCCCTTCTTGAGCTGAACGAGGCGTGAACAGCAGAGAGAAACACACAGTGTGTATAAACATAAACTACGCAGTGCTGGGGCTCCAAGCCTGGAGTGTGAAAACACTGAATTAAAGGTCTGTGTGTCTCTCGTCATTCTCGGCTTCTGTCACGTCTGGCAGGTGAGTCGTTCAGTCTCAGAATGGCAGAGACGTCAAGTGAAACGTGAGAATAAGTTCGACCAATTGGAAGTCAGACCAATTAGTGCTCTGTAGATAACAACACAGCCACAACTAACTGGTCGTCTGGCACACTACGCTCAGCATTCAAGCCACAAGCTAGAACTTGTGAGTATGCTGGTCTCCCTGGCCAAAAGAACAGGGCAATGTAAACCACAGTCACAATATAGGCTGGAGGAATTGCCATGATACATTCCCTCCACACTAACAATGAAACAGAATGTGAACTGGGTGCGTTTTTCTCATTGGGTTGAGGCAAAGTAGAAATAAAAGTAGAAATAAAAGTAGAAATAAAAGCAGAAAATGCACTGCTCCACAGCCCAGTGCTGGGAGGCTTCAAACCCCTCTAGCTGAAGCTTGGCACTGGGCATGGTGACCTTAGGCTCACGTGCAGCTGATTGTTTGACATGCAGTTTGCATGATTGGCTGCTATAGGCTTTCATTAGGGCTACTTTAGCCTTGTAGCTGCACACCAAAGACATCTTTGATGATGGACTACATTTGGCGTAAAGGGAAAAGAAATCTCAATAACATATCTGAAGCATGGACGAGTCATTCCGAGGGAAAAGGGTGGTAGAAGCCCTGAGCCGAACACTTGTGATACAATTCGCTGTGCTAGTGCAGGGGTGTCCAAACTTTTGGGCCAGACGGTACTGTGTCAAAATACCTGAGGGCCGACATATTATTCACAAATGATTCAAAGTATCAGCGCAAAGAATCTGAGCTTTCTGTGAGCTGCTGTTTCCTATCACTGTATAAAAGATGCACGAGGCTTCTTTCATTGTTGGATTGTTCAATCAGAGCAGTTTGGATCAACAAGCGCTTATAATAAATGATTAAACTGTTTAAGAGTAACAATACAACATGTCTAATGTATTAATCATATTCCTATTCAAGCGTTTACTTGTTGAAAAATATAATTTGTGAGAAAAACGAATCAAAAATCTAAAAAATATTTGGTTTTGTTAAATAATGTTCTTTACATATCAAATAAACACAGCGTAGCCGCACTTCTGTTCGACCTTAAAGGGTTAATATTTACTGCACTACTGATAAGAAGTTCTCCATCTCGCCAAAATCGGCAGTTTTCAGCGCTTAGTTTGAGCTTTATATCCGTAGTCTTGACTAAATATAGTTCAGTAAATGAAGCTGCAGGTCTGGTCAGCTGCCACCATCAGGTGAAAGGAAGAACTGCAACATAGTGGCTGGCAGGCCGCTTAAAATACCCTGTAAAACAGAAGCAGGGGGCCAATTAAAATTTGTCCGTGGGCCGCATTTGGCCCTGGGGCCGGACTTCGGACTAGACCCGACACAATATCTTGCGGCACAGGAGTAATTTTCAGTGTTGCTCACAGGAGCGGGCGGAAATCAGACTCCTTCAGGTGGGAGCAGGTGGAAGCATGCATATAGAGAAATCCCGCAAATTAATGAATAGCCTAAATAAAGTACAACATATATGTAAACAATATAACAGTAAAACAGTTAAAATTAATAAAGTCATTCTTCAGCAACTGATCACGTGACCAACACGCAAATACTCATAGGTCTGATTCACACATACTGTGTCTGGGCCGCGTGAGCGACGCGGAAAGTCTTGCTTTTCTTTCCGGCGCCCATGGTAAGAGGTCAGCACTTTCACACAGGCTGCGCGCGTGAAGCGGCAGAGTCGCAGACGCCGCGTTGAAACGCTGCGGTGTTTAGAGAAGAGACCTGGGGTACGCCGCACGCGACACGCAGCTAAATGTGTTGAAATAAGCCATGAAAATACGTAAATTAAATGTAAATTAAACAAAGACCGTATAAAAACTTAAAATGCCCATTTTTATGTAATTCATGATGAAATACTAGTTAAACAGTCCGGCTGCAGACAGATTTCCTGTAGTCTACCAGGCTTGAAACCTAATCAGAAGTCAGAATGCTGTCCAGGATGATCAAATATACCGTGTTCATTTATGAATGATATTTCTACTGAGCAGAGTGACGGAAGTGACCATCTATCAGTCTGGAAACAGGAATGCTGTATGTATGTCCGAGCTGTAGCGCTGGTGCTGCACATCACTCCCACCATGCAGAGGCAGCATGTTGAATCAAATCAGGTGTTAGAGAGAGGGCGGAGCCTTCAGTCTGATGGCCACAGCTGCCCAGCAAACACCAAAAATAGCCGCTCTGTGGTTGAATTCCTGCTCTGTGTTTACTGGGAATAAATAGCGTTTGGTGAAGTTGCTCACAGTGAGCCTGATGACCACGAGTGCTGCGTTATTAAAGCAGAGAATAATGCATTTGTGATTAGACTGTGTCAGATATTGGGTGTCTGCGGGACTGCACGGGCGGGAGCGGGATGAAATCTCACAGACCTCTACTTTGGACGCCCCTGTGCTAGTAGAACACTCCTAAAAAAACATGTAAGCTGTTCCACAGAAATCATATCACATCACACAAAACAAAAAAGGGCAAAGTCAAATCAACACATGCTCTTAGAACAAACGCTGACAATTTTAAACTGGACGGCTGACCTCCCTGTAGCCTGAACTTGTGCTTTGTGGGTGTACGAGTTTAAAATGCCTGGCCATTTTTCAATATTTTTTGTCACATCTTGTGGAAAATTCGAAGAGAGAGTGTTTCGTGGTGACGTCGTATTCAATAGAAAAGGGCTTAGATTAATTGGTCAGACAGGGAAGAAGGCGAAGCCGTAGAGAATGAACTAATGCTGCTTTAATTTTTCTCCACTGGATCAGAGATTATTCACTCGCCAGACTAATATACCTTTGCCTTTGAAAAGTCCAGTAATATCATTCAAAATTTAGCAGTGCAGAACCCTCCTAATTCCTCAGACCTCTGATGAGATCAATTATCATCTGCTTGAATATTGATTGAGTGACTGAGCTTGGAGGAGCTGTCCCCTATGAGGACCGACTAGATGAATCAGGAATTAAAAAGCTGTCAGCCTGGCAGCGCGTAAGTCAAGGGCGCCCTCGCTGGGATGCCGAATACACACGGCAGTGAAAAGGTGTGTTAGCGCCAGACAGGAACGATTTGTTTCAGGGATTGACGTTCCAAATGAAGGCATTTCCTTTAACCGTATCCTTGACCTCGGCACTAAAGCTCCAGCAAACAGCGCTGTAATCACTCACTGTCGAGCAATAATTACAACAACGGAAGGCAATAATGAAAAAGGTCTCGTAGGGACAACCACTGCTATAAATACCTTTGTAGTCCAGGATGTCTTCGGTGAAAGCCAGCATGCAGGGGTAGATACTGCTGATAAAGAGACCCAGAAAACAGGTGCCGATGAACAGGAACACACTGCTCATGTAGAGGATGAGCAGAAGGAACAGGGTGATTATCACACCAACCTGGAAATTACAGGATTACAATAGAGAAACGTTAAGAGGTTTGGACTAAAATCTACTTTACATTCCCCTTTTCCCCCAAACTGGTTCAGTCGGTCAAGATGAGCGGTGTCAGGTGCTTCTTTAGCCAACAAGGCTGATGAAGTTAACAAGCAATGGAAGCTTATATGCAGCAGGTTAGCGCTGTGCAATCACACACACTTGACTCAAACCACATTAAGTTGTTAAGTAATCTCAAATTATGTGGTTTCTGACACACACACACACACACACACACACACACACACACACTGTACAGCATACTAAACTAATATGGACAAAAATATGTCACATAACTAAAAATTTGCTAACTGGGCACCAGCTGGACATCACTCATATTACCACACACTGCCACTTTGATTATACATTTAAACATGTTTCATATTGGACAACTGTTAACAGAGGTTAACAGGCATCAGGCATAACATTATGACCACCTCCTTGTTTCTACATTCAATGTCCATTTTATCAGCTCCACTTACTATATAGGTGCACTTTGTAGTTCTACAAACACCTCAGTGTCACTGCTGGACTGAGAATAGTCCACCAACCAAAAATATCCAGCCAACAGCGTCCTGTGGGCAGCGTCCTGTGACCACTGATGAAGGACTAGAGGATGACCAGCACAAACTGTGCAGCAGCAGATGAGCTATCGTCTCTGACTTTACATCTACAAGGTGGACTGACAAGGTAGGAGTGTCTAATAAAGTGGACAGTGAGTGGACACAGTGTTTAAAAACTCCAGCAGCACTGCTGTGTCTGATCCACTCGTACCAGCACAGTACACACTAACACACCACCAGTGTCAGTGTTACTGCAGTGCTGAGAATGATCCACCACCCAAACAGTACCTGCTCTGTGAGGGTCCATGGGGGTCCTGACCACTGAAGAACAGGGTAAAAGGGGGCTAACAAAGTATGCAGAGAAACAGATGGACTACAGTCTGTAACTGTAGAACTACAAAGTGCACCTATGGTGTACAGCAGTACTTTTTTCCTGCTTTGCTCTTTACTGTACTTTGTACTGCTGCAATAGAAAATGCAACAGAATTTCTCTCTGGGATTAAATAAAGTGATCTATCTATCAAAAAATAGTAGTAGAAGCCTGAATTCTACTTGTGTTTTTATCCATTTTTATAGAAAACTTTACAAGCCCATTCCCACCAGGAGATTCCCTGTTTCCCCCCTCCTGTTTCTGGAAGAAATATTGACTTACTATCTCAAAATTATGACTTATTTTTTCAAAACAGTGACTTAAAATCTCTAAGTAATGATCGTTTTCTTGAAATGTTAATTTTCTCATAATATTCACTTACTATCCCAAAATATTGACTTATTTTCTTAAAATTTAAGATACTATGTCAAAATAAGTTATTATATTTTAAGAAAATAAGTCACTATTTCTGGATAATAAGATAAGTAATTACTGTAAGTTATTATCTCAACATACTAATGTTGCTATTTTGGGAAAATAAATCATTTCAAGAAGGATTACCAGATTTAAAAATGGGCAAATGCAGTTTGCATGATACTACTTGGTGCTCATACACTTTGCCTCACAGCTCCGGACCAAAACTAAAGCAGCCAATTTTGGGCACCAAGCACATCTTGGCTGATACATATCTTGGGTGTAGTATGTTTGGATTTGGCTACTGAAACTGCACTTAATGTTCTGAGGTGAAAAAAGTGTCCCTGGTCCCAAAGATAAGCCCCTCTTCCACCATAAAAGCACTTAGAGCTCATTTGGCTTTCTTTCAGTCACCCCTAGACACCACTGATGACTACAACACCGTGTTACAGAAACCAGTAATACTGGTCAATTCCTGTTATTGGCTGTTAATTTGGCCCTGGACCAGTGAAAGCCCAGTCAGCCCTGCAGTGCAAAATAGAACTGATACAGGCTAAAACCCTGGTGTTACTAACATCTTGGCACAAAGGACACAATTAAGACGGGCCTTGGCACTGTCAATAGCACTTTCAGACATCTCCCATTTGCCAAGTGGTTGGGGCACAGCAGGAACAAGGATGTGTGTTTTTGATCCTGTTCTTTGTTCATTTATGACTGCTTGTCTTTTATTGCTCGACTGACTTTGTAAACTGGCCCATGTGAAGCAGTGTTGTTATCCCAGTCCGTTCTCAAATAAAAGTTACAGGCTAATGAAGAAAGTGTAAATATCTTCTAGAAAAACAGTTTTACGAACTGCTGGTCAAGGTGAGAGACTGTTGAAGTGCAAGGCACAAACAGGGTTTGTAAAGTACCAGTCCAGAAAGAGCAACAGAGAGATCAGGCAAATAACTACAAGGAAGCGGTTGGAGATTGTGATGACAGAGATGCTGACGTATTATTACTATTACTGCTGCTACTGCTCATTGCCCAGAATAATAAAAAAATAATAACAGTAAAAATGTGTGTTTCCTTCGAAGAACCATAAAATAAAATTAGGACAGAGGAAATCTAGGAGGAAAAAAAACAAAACAACAAAGTCTACGTTCACGCAGCAGGTAAAAGCTGCCCAAATCCGATTTTTTTGTTGGGCTGTTCACATTATCTTTTAAACGTGATCTGTATGTGACATCAGTCTGAACAGATCACGGCTCATCCAGAGGTAAACAATCATGAACGCCAGTCACTCCCAGAGGATCAGCTTCATCTTCACCAGCATCACAGGAGCCATCATGAAGCTTCACTGACTGACAGCTGGGCTCTTCACCCAGAGTGTGTTTGAGCCGTAAAAAGGGCGCGGTCACTTCTTTGGTTCGTTTCCTCGGATTCTTTAAACTTTGCTTTCAGACTTTTAACTTCTTTGACGCTGCAGCCTCGTTCTCCTGCGGCCGCGTTCGGACATTTCTTTCAAAATCTCTATGAACACTGAGGAGTTTGGACCAGTCTCTTCTAATATTTTGGTACAGAAACATCAGCCTAAATGTTTATGAGCCTCAGCAGTGCGAAGTTATGACGAATGTCGAGTTGGATTGACGTAAAATCCGCATGAATTCTGATCTGGCTGTTCAGACTGAGTTGCATTGCCGTAGATCAGATACGTATCTGATTTCAGTACCACATATGAAAGCGTCTCAAATCTGAATTGAAAATTTAACCGCTTGTAAGTTTGTAAAACAGAAATATCCGATCAGTATCGGCCGCTGCTCAGGGTTTCAGTATCAGTATGAGAAAAGACAAAGTGTCTCTAGTGGTTCTAGCATTGATAACCACCCTTACCTGGTTGAACGTGAGCAGGCGAACAGGTTTAATACGGTAAGACAGGGGTATAGAGGCCAGACGCCCCACAGTGATGGACGCCCAGAAAACGCTGGTCAGGTATCCGGCCGTCTTGTGTGGCAGACTCAGAGGTGGAGCCACAGCATATGTGTAAACAAAGCCTGTGTATGAGCCCTGAAGTGCACAAGAGAAAGATTCAGTCTAAACGCTCTTCATGCTTCTCATAATAAAACTCAGTCTTGGTACAGAACTGTGCAAAAGTCAGAGACCACCATTTCCAATCAAAATGGCCAATAAAAACAATCAATTTTCAGTCCACTTTCCAGGAAAAATGTAGAAAACATATTTAACAGCCTTTATTACAGCTTTCACTCTTTTCGGTTTTCTGCTCTCCTGCTTTTTCCCCACTTCCAAAAAGTTCACTCTTGCATTTTCTGCTTCTCACGATCCAAGAACACCCAAACACATTCAGAGATACTGAGGTCTGGACTCTGGGGTGGTCAGTCCATTGTTCTGAGACCACCAGCAGCTTCTTAGATTTGCCAATTTTCTTCTTTTTTGTCTCTCTTTCTTTCTCAATGAACACTTTTTGACAGCTACACATCCTTCGACACCCATAGTTTTGAGTTGTCTTCTCACAGTGGACGGATGGACAGAAGCACCTTTGAAAGATGAAAGCTTTAAATACTGTTTATCTGGTAGTGTTTTGGTGGTCTACAAGTTCTTCTATGGTTGGTAGGTGTCGCATTAGAAATAGACCCTGATAAACGAGTAACTCGTCCCGTCCTTTGACCGGAAATTTATCCCTTGTGTGGTGTTGATGTGTTTGTTACTCAGTGGTCTGGTGGACCCACCACATTATTGTTTTTTTTTTTTAAATCAATACAGTCATAATAATTTATGTAAAAATACCAGATGCTTAAAATATCACAAGTGTCCAGCGTAGGGTTCTCCTTTAGCAGCTGTAGCCAGTCAGCAGCCTGTCCATGTTGTCCACCCTCATACACAGACACACACACACTAACAGCAGGCCGTGTAGGAGGAGAACAGAGTGAAGGACACAGCACCTCCACACTTTTACTCCCCGCAGGTTCACCCAACACCACATGTGTAATATAATGTGTGGGGGGTGAACAGAGTGAAGACACTGAAAATGGGTTATTTTATATGTTCTTCACAGAAAATGAGCAAAGAACAAGAATCTGAGGCTGAAATAATAATAAATCACACCATTTTTCTTTTGGTAAACAGTGAAAATGGGTCCCACACACCTGAACACCACACCGAGGTTAAATAACTGAGGGTGGTCTCTGACCTTTGCACAGTACTGTGGAACGTTGGTACGTCTTACCACTATGCCATCTGAAAAGAAAAGCACCATCCCTCCAAAAATATGGAGCCCAAAGAAGGACAAGGGAAGTTCATTCAGCCTGCTGAGTTGACAGCAGTTCATCATGTTTGTGTGGCCTGTGAAGGAAACAGAAAGACACCCTGTCAACCTTACATATCGTAGAACTGCTTTATTTGAGACAGTGGCTGGTCAAAGCACAGCACAACCTACAAAGAACCAATCAATCAATGCGTTTACAGGCGCACGAGTAATCAGAAAATGGGGAAACTCCAGGTCTACATGAGTCAGACGGTAATCAGATTTCTGCTTTGCAACCAGCCAATAAACTCACAGAAGAAGACGTGACGTAAACGTAACGTAAAACTCGTACGTAAAAAAAAGGTTGCACCACTTTACCTGAAAATATGAATATACATCATCTAGAACATGAAGAATATTTCATTTCGTTAAGCATTTATTTATCGATATACCAGGGCTGGGCGATTAATCGGATTTTATTTTCATTCACGATTTTGGCTTGACGATTATGGAAACAGGTCAATCGAGATAAAGCGATTATTGTTCCGTTACACAATGATAGTCTCGTTTTGTCTTGTGTTATAAATCCACTGTGCAGCTCTCCTTTACAGTGTTGCACTTTGGCCCCGCCTAAAAGCTGAAAATTGTCCAATTTATTTTGGTCTAATTTATTTTTATTTATTTTTATATTTGTTTAGTATTTTTCAGTGTGGCAGTGCACTACAACTTAGCTGATCTTATTTATTTTTATATTATTTATTTAAATGTATTTTTCAGCTGGATTATACTTAAAGTTCAAGGAAATCCACTGTTTAAAGCTTTTTTTCCTTTAAAAGTTCAATAAATGCAAAATGTTTTTTAAAGTCAGTGAGTAACCGTGTTAAATAATCATGAGCTCAATATTGACCAAAATAATTGTGATTATTATATATTTCCTATAATCTAGCTGCCCTACTATATACTTCCTTCGATAACTCAAGAAAGGAAACCTCTCCTGCTCTGTTTCTACGGATAACAACAGGCATTCTCACCACATCAATAACAGTCTGGTACAGCTTTACGGACAATCAGTCCTGAAACACACTCCAACGCACCGCTGACAAACCATCCAAAATCATTGGTGCCCCAGCAAACTGAATCACTCCATCACAAACGGACAGTCAGAAGAGCAAACAGAATCATCTGAGCCCACACGTCCAGCACATTACATTTTTCAGCTGTTGCTCTCTGGACAAAGGTCCATAGATCACTGACAACCAAAACAACCCGTGTCAAAAACAGCTTTTTTGCCCCACTGAGATACAATCGCTGGATTCCACCTCATAATTTCATTTATACTTCGTTCTGCTTCTCCCTGTTGCCAACTCTGATTACTGCCTTTGCAGTAGGTTCTACCTTTAAACTCTCACATTTATTGTACAACCCCAATTCCAAAAGTTGGGACACTGTGTAAAATGTAAATAAATGTAAATAAAAACAGAATGCAATGATTTGCAAATCTCATAGACCCATATCGTTGTTGTCGGAAGAAAACCTTGTATCTCCGAAATGGTGACTTCACAGGAGAAGGAAAAAACATACTTTACTTTTAATGGAAGTCAATGGAACCAGACTGTTTCCCAAGTCATTTTGGGCCGTTTCTTTTAGTCCATTCATTGTGAAATTTACATACAACGTAAAGAACAACAGGCATTTTCAAATTATGTCAAAAGCCGGAAAACATCAAAAATGGAGATACGAGGTTTTCTTCCGACAACAGCGATATTTTATTCACAACAGAACATAGAACACATATCAGATGTTGAAAGTGAGACATTTTACCATTTCATGAAAAATATGAACTCATTTAGAACTTGATGGCAGAAACGCATCTCAAAAAAGTTGGACAGGGCAACAAAAGGCTGGATAAATAAGTGGTACTAATAAAAAACAGCTGGATGAGCAATTTGCAGCTAACTCACATGACTGAGTATAAAAAGAGCATTTTAGCATGCAAATGTGTTCAAGGTTCTATATAAAGTGATTGTCTTTACTGAAGAACCATCTTTTTTTATGAACCTTGAAGGACTATCTTTTTTAAGAGTGTACGCTATAATAAAAAAAAAAATTGCAGCTCTTGCGATTTGAAAATGGCGGCGTCTTAAATTGCGATTTCGATATAAAAACGATTAACCTTTCAGCCCCAGTTCTGACTTGTTCTAATGAACTGCAAGTAACTACAAACAGCTGTTCACTCTGACTTTGGTTCATTTAGACGTATGTAGTCTGTATTGCATTTGTACTTCAAACAAACCAAGACAGACCTGCTCAGGGGTTCACGGTTCTCACTTGCTCTAATGGACTAACAGAGCAATCGCACCGCGGTTTGTTTTAATTGAACGAGTCTAAATGCCTAAATTGTGCGATTGGTGCGATTTACTTAACACTGACATTCAAACCCTGGTGCACACCAAATAAGAGGAGTAAGAGCTCCTTGTGTGGTTCCTTTGAAGTGTGACCACAACACGGTCTCTTCTCCACATACCTTCTTTAGTTCCTGCGGCAGACGAATTTCTGAACCTGTTTTGACGTGCATGTGTTTCATTACCTCTTCATGAGATCAGCTCTGTATCAGTAATTATAGAACACATCGTTTTGGTTTTAAAATGAGGCTGAGGCACACGAAGTATTATAAAACGCTATATACACACAGCTACACATTAAATCATATACTGATGCTGTCAGCATTTTATGAATTCAGTGTTTTCACTCCAGACTTGGAGCCCCTGCACTGTATAGTTTAGTGTTTCTCTGCTGTTCATCTCGTTCAGCTCAAGAAGGGATTAATTAGCTGATAATATCAGGTATTTTAACCAGGAAACCACAGTTATGCAGTGCAGGGGTTTCAGGACTGGAGCTGAACTCTGAACTAACTGCACTAGAAAACTTACAGAATCACGTCTGTGGAAACATGACGTCGTTTTCCGACCCACGACATTCAGTCTGATATTTAACGTTTATGTTTCTCCATTTAAACCTCATTTAAATCTCCAGAAACAGAGAGTAAAGTTATACCGGCTGTCTGCAGCTCCGTTAGGGGGACGACTGTTCATCTCTCGGCTGTTAACATCAGCTAAAGTTATCTAAAGGCTAGAATTGATCACATCTGTGTTAATTAGCTGATGTCGTTACCCTCCTATGATGACAGAGTTTATCTCCTCTTTATGCAACACCATGGGATCCTTTACCCACCCTGACGTGAAGAGCCGGTGGGCTTCTGTGCTTTAAATGCTTTGAGAGACTCCAGAACAGGGAGAGGGGCTGAGTATGAGATCAATATAAATGTCAGGAAAACACAAATTTGGTAGCTTTTCGCCAGTTTAAGTGGGACCAGGAGTTCAGGGGGAAACTGTATAAGGATCTCAGCCTGTTTTATCGACTTTGTTGAGGAATGTTTTTCTCTTTCAGAGTAAGGAGAGTAATTTTAGTCATCTTTCACCTCTAGTTACGTTCATGCGGAGCAGCAAAGCCAGAAATTCGGTCCCAAATATGGCGGCCACAACAGGAAAATCACGTGACTGAAACCCTGGGATAGACTACCTCTTGATTTCAGCCACAAACTAAACTTGGGCAATAGTGTGTTAATGATCAAGAATGAAGAACAAAGAATCTTGGAAAATTCTTCATTCTTTATCGTTGAACGCCCTACTGCCCAAGCTGTGTTAGTGGACTTTGTGGATCTTGCCTGTGGATTCAGGATGCTCCTGTGAGGTCACGTCCACCTGCTCTGAGCCTCTCTGCATCTTGATTGTGCGCATGTGCATGTCCCCATCCAGGAGACGTGGGCTGCGTTCAGAGCAGCATGTCAGCACTCGCTCCCGATACATCAGAACCAACACAGCGATGGGCACAGGCAGCTGGAGAGAGAAAGAAGTGTTCACAGTTACGCACTTTCAAGTCATGTCAAACTTTATTGTCATTCCTTCTCATCGGCCACGTATTGAGTGAGGAATGAAATATAGTTATTCTGGAACCCTTAATTAAACAACTGTCAGAACAACTAAGGTGACAACAGTACATAAATATAATAAATACATCACACTATTCAGCAAACTATACAATAAACTAAATACACTGATCAGGCATAACATTACGACCACCTCCTTGTTTCATTTTATCAGCTCCACTTACTATATAGGTGCACTTTGTAGTTCTACAGTTACAGACTGTAGTCCATCTGTTTCTCTGCATACTTTGTTAGCCCCCTTTTACCCTGTTCTTCAGTGGTCAGGACCCCCATGGACCCTCACAGAGCAGGTACTATTTGGGTGGTGGATCATTCTCAGCACTGCAGTAACACTCACGTGGGTGGTGGTGTGTTAGTGTGTGTTGCGCTGGTCTGAGTGGATCAGACACAGCAGTGCTGCTGGAGTTTTTAAACACCTCAGTGTTACTGCTGGACTGAGAATAGTCCACCAACCAAAAATATCCAGCCAACAGCGTCCTGTGGGCAGCGTCCTGTGACCACTGATGAAGGACTAGAGGATGACCAACACAAACTGTGCAGCAGCAGATGAGCTATCGTCTCTGACTTTACATCTACAAGGTGGACTGACAAGGTAGGAGTGTCTAATAGAGTGGACAGTGAGTGGACACAGTGTTTCAAAACTCCACCAGCACTGGTGTGTCTGATCCACTCGTACCAGCACAACACGCACTAACACACCACCACCACGTCAGTGTTACTGCAGTGCTGAGAATGATCCACCGCCCAAGTAGTACCTGCTCTGTGAGGGTCCATGGGGGTCCTGACCACTGAAGAACAGGGTAAAAGGGGGCTAACAAAGTATGCAGAGAAACAGATGGACTACAGTCTGTAACTGTAGAACTACAAAGTGCTCCTATATAGTAAGTGGAGCTGATAAAATGGACAATGAGTGTAGAAACAAGGAGGTGGTCATAATGTTATGCCTGATGTGTGTAAATGTTCAGTACAGGACAACAGACAGTCGATACAGTTTGACAGTTCAGTCCTTTCCTCCTTCCTTTTCTTAGCTCAAAGCCAAACACCTGGAATAACTGAGAGGTTTGAGTCCTGATATCACAGAAGTATTAAACACAAACGTGCTTTGGCTTTACAAAAAAAGGGCTTTTGTCGGATGTTCTTTCAGTTTGCCAAGCTAACAATGAGTGTGTTTACATGCACTTAATAATCCGATAACTTCAGAAAAATCAGATTTTGTCAGTAATCCGATCAACGCGTTTACATGCACTTGAGTAATCAGATAATAGGGAAACTCCAGGTCTATATGAGTCAGACAGTAATCATATTTCTGTTTTGCTACCAGCCAATAAACTCACAGAAGAAGACGTGACGTAATGTAAAACTTCATACCATGGCTTTTTTTTTAAAAAAATCATTGCGTCACTTTACCTGAAAATATGTACGTACATCATCTAAAAGATGAAGAATACTTAAATCCTTTTTTTGAGTTTGGTTTCAGTGTCGCTCCAAAAGTGTTTTGCTGCTTCCGCTGTCTGTTTCACACAATTCCTATCCGACTGATCGAGGTGGGTAATCCTGTAAATAATCCATTAAATAGAAGAATAATATCCGTGTAAATGCCTGTATCCGATTACATTCCCTATCGGAAAGTTTAAGTCCGTTCTGATCATGTTCGTCGCGTCATAGTGAAAGTTTATACCGTTCAACATGGCGGAGCAGAAACTGGTCTGCAGAGGAGACGAAGTTTATGCTCTGATCTTTAAAAGACGGCGGTGGGACGGACGTCCAGCTTATGTGTCTCAGAACACGACGTCTTCCTCTCGGCCTTCTTTAATAAGGACATGTGAAGGACGTTTTCCTGAGTCTGACATCATTTTAAAGTAATTAAAAACACAAGCGCTGCTCACTGCAGCTCGTCTCACTCTGACTGGACTCACGAGATGCTTGTTGTCATGGTAACGTCTACACTAAGTAGTTCTCTACACATGCGTGTAATTTTGGATCGGATTACTTGTAGTGAGCATGTAAAGTGAGACTTTCCATCAGATTGTTTAATAGAGTGAGAATAAACACCTCAGTCTTAATCTGTAACTGGAATGTGTTCAATCGGATTGGAGAAAATTTTTGCATGTAAACACAGACACTGATTCTTCATCAGGGGAATTTCTGCGAGAGCAATACTCAGTGGGTTGTTTTCCATAGAGTGATGTGCTGAAAAGCATTCCTACTCTATTCTATTAAAATAAAACAAGGAAAAACTGGTAAAACCATACTTGATTTTAACTATGCTTATACGTCTGCAAGATGCTGACCCTGTGCATCCAGCATTTGTTTGAAATGTAGGCTGTGCATGTCCTCAGAAGTGACTGAAACCATGAAACGCAGTGTCAACATAAAGGGGGGTGGCAGTTTGAGACTGAACAAACCACGACAGCAACCACTTCTGCCATCTGTTTCTTCTATTTTCATACAATAAACAATAAAACAGCCTCAGCAGTCGTCACGCTCACTGTGAAATCAGAAGAGGTGTTCAAGGAAGACTCTCGTGCCACCAAGTAATATTTCAGTCCTGACCTGCCGAAATGGATACAGCTTTTAATCCTGGGTTATTTTACAGAAACGTCCACTTTTTTATCTATTCATAGGAGTCAGTGGAGTTACTGATCGTCATTGGTGTTGCATATAAAAAAAGGTTACGACTACTGCCCTTAACACCACGTCAATGTTTTGCCAAAGACTGGTTCCGTACCAGACTGTCATGGAGTCACTCAGAATTAGAGCTGGGCGATATGGCCAAAAAAAATGTTATCGCGATAAACAAATTTTATTTCCGCCGATATCGATACATATCATGATAAATGTCAAATCATTATTTCTTTCAAGTTTAAAGGCCGATTTTTGCTCCTGAGTGGTTAATTGTCGTTTTAAACTATCCATTATGGTCCTTTAACATGACAGACACTCGCCAAACAGTGGAACATTTCACAGATCGGTCATGGGACAGTGGGAGAAAGTGTCTGGTCAGCTGCTTTTACCAGCTGGAAAAGCACGGCCGCAATGTTTGTAATAGTCATAATTGAAGAAAAAACGAGTGCTAAACTGTTTAGTTTCTCAACAATGTCAGTTTAATAAGAACAGCAAACATCAGCTGGCTCGGGTAGGTCAGTGATGGATCACACCGTCTTACTGCCATCACTCCTACCACATCCATGTCAGAGCGTATCACAGTATTCAGACACCAGCTAGCGACGACTGGATTCCTCTATTCTGTCTCAGTAGTTTGAGAGTTTGACGGGTGAACCGCAACATATCTGACGCTCACTGTGTAAAAGCATTAACTGCAGCGCGAATCTCTTACACCAGACAAACTGAGTCCTCCTTTTAGGTTTGTTTAAACTGAAATCAGTGCTTTTTTGTCTTGTTTGATCTACAGTAACATCAGTTTGCCGTGCTGCGTGAGTGACAGAGCGCTGCTTCAAGTTAGCCAGCTGCTAAAAACAGCTAGCCTGGGAAGATAGCGTTCTCCCACTCTCCAGTCCCTCACAAAGTATCGCATCCCCGGTTTACTTTTGTTTAATTCAGGACTGTAACTCACATGAACCCACTTCTTTCTTTCACTTTTTTTGTTTGGGAATGCACTAATACTAAAATATGACTGAGCGCTGTAACAGCGCTGTAGTTGTGAGGAGCAGACGTGATGTAACGCTGCTAAAGCTTACATTTTACATTTACATTTATGGCATTTGGCAGACGCTCTTATCCAGAGCGACTTACAATTTGATCATTTTTACACAGGTGGGCGAAGGTGGTGTTAGGAGTCTTGCCCAAGGACTCTTATTGGTATAGTGTAGGGTGTTTACCAAGGTGGGGTTTGAACCCCAGTCTACAGTGTAGAAGGCAGAGGTGTTACCCACTACACTATACCAACAAAAGCTGGTTAGGATGTAAGGAAAGAGGTGAGGTAAGTTACACCACTTATGTCATCACTCACACTTGGTCACAGGAGAACAGATCGCCGATCGCTCCACTCAAACAAGGAATGTATAACTCCACGTTTCAGACGCTGTTAAAGTTTATTTGAAATCATGTCGAAAAACTCAGAAGTGCGCCCTCTCATGGCGACAAAAGAGTAATGTCGCTTTGCTTGCAGTAGGAAATGCCACCAGGGCTGTCGCTAGAATGTGGAAGTGTGAGAATGGTGTATTATATCGAACATTTATCGAACAGTTCTTATATTTCTATCAAGAAAGGTGACATCATGATAATTATCGTTAGCATTTTATCGCCCAGCCCTACTCAGAATGGCAGCAATCATCTCAGTGACGAGTCCCGCTTGTCTTGGTGGCGACGACCGTGAGTGGAGGCACCACGGTCAGTGCCAAGATGAACGGATAGTTGTCACGCGTCCTGAAGGCCTGGTGTTACGGTGTGGGGTGCAATTTCGTACAATGCCAGATCAGCTTTGGTCTTCATTACAGGCATTTTAACAGCCCAATGTTATGTTAATGAAGTCCGGCAACCAGTAACCCTACCTTCTCTGAACACACACTCCGGTGCGCTACTCCAAAAGGACAATGCTCATCCGCATACTGCTGCTGTCTCAAGAGCTGCCTTGAAGACACAGACACTATACCATGGCCAGACCAATCGCAGACTGAAAATATATGGGATGCTACTGGAGGCGCTATCAACGCTCCACCCATGCCGCAAAATCTGCAGGAACTGCGTGAGAATATTCGAGCTGCATGGGATGGATTATCACAGGACACCACTAGGAACCTCTTCAACTCCATGCAGAGACATCTGGCATGTTGCACTAGCAAACATGGTGGCCTGACGCCAAACTGAGAGACACTACTTCTGTATGAGAATCTCAATAAACGTTGCCCATATTACCCTTTATCTTCCTTCTAAATAGCACTGGAAACCCAATCTTACTTCTGGGTGCAACTATTTTTTTGACGATAAGTGTATATGGGTCTCATGTGTACAGCAGATGAAGATGAAGACTAGGACCGAGGTAGTAGCTCAGTCAGAAAGTGCTATTACCACAGTGCCTACGGTATCCATTCCCAGTCCCGGCCCCCTTCGTACTGCATGATTTAGTTGTTTGCTTTGCTCCAGGACAGCCGATTCAGCTCACTGCTTAACGAGCAAGGCTTCGTGAGTTGAATAGTGGGTGCAACAATAAGGGAAGGAGGGCCACAGGACTCAGGGTGAATACTGTTCTACAGGCACCTGCACACGGCTGTGTTACCTCCTTCAGCCCACTTTTCAGAAGACTTGCTTAGCATTTTGATTAAAGTCAATCTTAACCGACACCATTTAGTTTGAGGGCATACTGGTGAATGAGTGACAGAACGGGGGAAAAACATCCGAAGCAGCGTGACCAGTTTTCCCTTTTCAAACCAAAAGCCTTAAAAAAGCCCCAAGACCTACACAGTAGTGCAGAGACTGGGAACACATCAAAACAAGGCAGAAATGATTTCATTCTATATTAACACAGGACATGTATTGTTAAAACAGTTCACAGGGCCGGTACTGGACATGATTAAGCCTAGGCTTGGACTAAATTGAAGTGCCCATGGTGATTCACCAATAGAAACTCTGTTTAATCAAGGATAAGCCTTAATCTGGGCCTGGGAAAGTGGCTCATAGTGCAAAGAGTCTAAGGTTTCTAGATCAACAGATTTCAAAGTAAATATTTCAGAGACAAGGCCTTAAGACATCTCTTAAGTCAGAGTGCATCCTTTTGGCCAGATTAAGATGAATCACCAGCTGACTTTAGGGACGTACTCTGACGTAGGACTGGTTCTAACTAGTTCTCAGAAGGTAGCATTAAGCCTAAAACCCTACTCTTTAGGACAAAATCCCAACCTGGAGGAAGACAATGGAGTCATTCTGTTAGATCTTCGCCAACCAGCTCTACACTGGGCTGAAAATGAGTGCATTCTCAGTGAGTATTCTTATTCTGAAGGGCTTACAGCACCAGCTGATTAGATTTCACTAATAACCTACTTCAGGCACAGACAACTCCACCGCAAAAGCGTATTCATGAGGAGTATGCAAAAGGACAGAGAAGTAAGGCTGTTGTCAGGGATACAACCATTACGCTGTTGTAATATTCAAATACCCGTCACAAAGGAGCTAGCTTAGGACCGGTGGACTGGAAGCTGGGTGATATGATAACTGCTCTTTCAGACAGCTCACTCAACACAGAGTTACTCTGTCCCACACCATAGGAATTCACATTCACCCTAATTTCAAAGTGATTTACAGTACTGTGCAAATGTCAGAGACCATGTATTTAATTTCTGGCTATTAAATACGAGTAATGGGTCATTCTACGGAAACGTCCACTTTTCTATCTCTCCATAGGAGTCACTGGTGTTACCGATCGTCATTGGTGTTACACATAATAAAGGTAACACGAGAGACATTTTTAATGAAAAATGCATTTTACAAAATGGCTGCTACAGAACATCAAACCACATGTTGTCAATCATGGAATATCCACTAAAATATGGAATTTAATCCATTTGTATTCTATTTTTTCACAGTTACCTCAGAATAAAGTCGGTCACACCAGTGACTTCAGCTAAAAGCTTCATATGAAATCATGAGCTAAATGAGAAAATCTCTGATAACTGAAAGACACAGTGGACTCACCATGTGCTTTTCTTCATAGATCCTCAGAAAACAGGTAAAAGGAAGTCAAGTGATGTCATCAGTGTGACTTATTTCAAAATAAGTGACACGACTCCTGGGGACCACAACTTATATATTTTATAATATTTATTTGGGATTTGTTTTCTTTATGTCATTTATATATATATATATATATATATATATATATATATATATATATATATATATATATATATATATATATATATATATAGTCATGTATAGATTGTTGCAGTTTAAAAAGCAGAAAAACGTTTTTTTTTTACCTCTAAATATGGCCTCAGCCTTTACACATGATTGTGAGGACGAGCTCTTCTGTGGTGCTTGGAATTCTATATGGTTGATTAAAAAACCATTATTGCTAAATTGAAGCTCAAGAAGGTCTAACTGTTAAAATAACATTGTTTTATTTTAAAATATAAATGAACTGTAACCTTAACGTTTTTTAAGTGTAATATAGCTGTGAACGCTAGGGACACAAAAATAGATGTTTCCATAGAATGACTCTGATTAATTTGTCAGCATCAGGAAAAAAAAGATGAAAGCATTTATTTAACCAAACATTACACGAAACTATAAATCATTTTTTCAGTATTTAGTGCGTCCTCCCTTTGCCTTTATTACAGCTTCCGTTCTTTTCTGGAGACTCACTTTCAGTTTCTCAAAGAAATCTGCCAGGATATTTTCCACACCTCCAAAGTTCAGTCTTAGAAGTTGGTTACATTTTCTGCTTCTTACAATCCAAGTAATCCTAAACACATTCAGTGATGCTGAGGTCTTTGCTCTGCTGGACTGACCACCCCAATGTCTTTGTTTGATGTGCAAATCTTCTTCTTTTCATCAGCTACACATCCCTTAAAACCCATAGCATGTAGATGTCTTTTCACAGTAGAAGATATGAAGCAGGAGAGGAGCTTGATTTTCTCTTTTCTCTCAAAGATGAAACCTTTAAGCACTGTTTATCAGAAGGGGCCAGTTTTGGTGTCCACCAGGTCAGTTAGGAGTCATTTTCCAGTTTTGGAATTTTCTCATTTGTCAATTATTTTTTATGAAAGTGGATTATCTTGTTTCTAATCTCCTGAGAAAATGAATAACTTGTACTTAATGGCTGTTTAACTGGACTCTGACTTTTGCACAGTACAACACACGACTGAGTAACACTATAGTGTCAAAGAAAATGGCCTTACATTGATGAGCGCCATGATCCAGAAGGCATAGGAGACGTTGGTGACCACTTCACCCTCAGTGTGGAACTGGAAGTGGGACACATTGTACACGTGTCTGCCGGCTAGTTTGTTCCTCATGTGTCTCATCATTGATGTGGCATTGCTGGTGCTGTTTCCTAACACACAGTCGGTGTCAGAAAGAAAAGGGTCGGCGATGAGGGGACTCAACAACGCTCCGAGACCTACAAAGAAGTGGAGAGCCTAGAAAAAGGAAATTGGGCAGAAATTAATTTAATTTAATATTAACACAGGACATCTCGTTAAATTAGCTCACAGCTAATTTAGGATCAACAGATCATCTAATTTAGGATCAACAGATCATCTAAGTTAGGATCAACAGATCATCAACAGATTTCAAAATGAACAACATTTTAAAGACAAGTTAAGCCAGGACCTGGGCTACGTTCACATTACCAGGCTGAAGTGGCACAAATCCGATTTTTTTGTCCTAACGTGACTCAGACTTGATGTTTTCAGGGCTGTGTGGACACGCAAATCTGATCTCTCTGACACGATGGTTCGCACTCGTTTAGGTAAGTGATTCAAATCTGCATGAACACATCCTACTCAGTAACGTCACGTGAACGAATCACATGCATCATCAGCAAACAGACTAATGAGCAGCCTGTAAACGGTGGAAAAGCAGCTCATCTCACCTTTTTCTCCTTCGTCTCGCTCTAATAATGAAGCTGAGAGCTGATCAGAGTTAATTATCTTCTCGGCGAAGCTCGTTCTGCTCGTTAGTTTCTTGATGATGCTGCATTTAATAAATAGCTTGTGAAAACTGAGGCTATATTTGCTCAGCAAACACGCAAATGAATGTGCGCTGGGTCCCTCAGCAGTGCTGCTCTTTGAGCTACGTAATGAAGAAGACTAACTGAAGGCAAGATGAGTGAACTATTCGTCAGCAATAACCGTTTATAATGCTAATTATTTTTTTTTATTGTTCGATACATGCACGTGTTGCAGGTCAGCTGTCTGACTAGCTTTCTAAACCTTAGACTCACGTAGTGAAAGCAGCCTAAATTAATAACTTCAATAATAACTGCCCTGTCTATATGAAATTTTGGTCAAATTAATGTTGTAGATTAAAAAAAAAATTAGCGATGCATTTAATTTACTTGATTTATATAAATCACTTCGTCATGAATGACAAAAACGACTAAAATACATAACATCAAAACAGTTTTGTCTTTCAGTTTACTTTCACTTATAACTGTACTGATGTATCATTTTATTCATGTAGATACGATTGATAGATTTAAAGTAAAGAGAAAAACCAACACTTATGTCATTTTAATACAGTAAAGCTATTTTTCATTTTTTTTTATTTTAACAGCATCCAAACCCAATGAAAGGTTCCCATTCTAAACGTTCTAGCTACACCCCTGGATGATAATTAAAAGGAAAAAGAAATTACCACTAATACCTGTTATGGTATAAGTCAAGAATCAAAGTACAGGTTAGAGCTCCTTTCTTTTTGTCATTACTGAATATACTAAACGAGACAACAACTTGACAGCAGGCCTTTATAGTAAATTATACTGGACAGCCCTTTAGCAACTCAGGTAAGGCTAATCTATTTTATATCAAAATTGCAATTGAAAAGAGTGTAATTTTCCAATCGCAAGAGCTGCAATTTTAATTCGACTTTTTTATTAACAATGTTTTCCTAATTGGGGGAGATTAACCTAATATCAGAGCTTGTAAACTGCCTGCAAATAAGTTCAACCCATCAGAAGCAACCACAGCAACTGTATGCTGTGACATCACAACCACAACTAACTGGCAGTTTGGCAGTTTAGTGTTTAAGTCTCAAGCCAGAGGAAGTGGATGTTCTGGTCCTCTTGGCCAAAATAACAGGCCTGAACTTCAATTTACAGAAATTAGTCGTAAATTAAACCGCAGTCGCAATATCAAATCAGAAAAATCGCAATTAGATATTTTTCCCCAAATCGTTCAGCCCCAAACTCTACAGCTACTCCCCAAGTGGCAAATGTGGAAATGACTCGTCACCTACATCTCCCCTGAATTTACACCAGTGATCAGACCTTATTAGAAAGAGAAACTGGCATCCCCACCTGGAGAAAGACAGTGGAGTCTTTCTGGTAAATCTTCACCAACTGCAGGTTGGAAATGGTATCGATGACGCCCATGGCAAGCCCAGTTATTGCCATGGCGATGGCAAGCATTGGCAAATTCCTGCAAATGGGGATGAAGGCGAACACCACGGAGATGATGAAGGTGGATGCAGCAAGAGATGACAAAGAGCATGCAAACCTGGAGAGGAGAGAAGGACAGACAATTCAGAGACCAGTCAGTAGAGTATCAACAACAACCAAACTGAATGTTTAAGAGGAGAAGAAAAAAACAGATGCAGTTTAGTTGCAACCAGGAAATTCGTTTCAGTTTGGACAGCAGTGACTTTGTTGTCACCTTGGCCTTTTACATTACTGTTTGCCTTATGAGTGTTGGCTTATCAAGTGTTGAGACTGGAACAAAACTGGAGGCTACCATCACTGCTGTGACCTTCTTGCCAACTTTCCATGATGACTGGTTATTCAAGTATTTTGGCCTTAAAATGAACAGATAAGCACACAGAAAACTGCTTTTACTGGAGAATCCCACCGTGGTTGAGATGTAAACCAAGTCATTCAAAGTGGTTTGATGTAGAGTGAATTTACTTTGATTACTCTAATTTCTTTGCAGTGGTGGTGACAGGAACCTGGGGCCACACTGTCAATGCTACTATATAGCCATATCTAACAATGATTATGGTAAAATGGTGCAAAATTTAAAAAAAAAGTTTTCCTTGGAGACTATTTTGCCCGTTTTAGGCCAAAAATATGTTCTCAGAACTATTGTAAAACAATGTCTTGGGCATTACAGAGCATATTCATAACTATTTTCCATAATAAACTTCTGTGAGGGAGCTTTTAGAGGTATTAAACTCCTCAGATGTCTGGTTCCTATCACCACCACTGTAAACAATTCTAACTCCAAGTTCCTCTAAAACAGACCATTTTATATCAAACCACTCTAAATGACATTGTTTACATCTTAACCATTTAACTATGCAGACACTGTGAGAAATTGGTGGAATTTCTCTTTAGGTACACCGAAAAAAGACACACAGCTCAAGGAAAGTAAACACTTGCCATTTTTTTTCCAATTCTGATGTAATCTAAACTACTAATTTCCCAAAGCAACTTGAAAAACAATGCAAACACAATCCTTTATCTACAGTGCGTCGACTTAAAAGTACTGCAAACAGACTTTGTTCTCGTGACTTTCCAAATTAAACCGGCTAGAGGATATTTGGGGGTCAGAGAGTGGCCAACTGAGCGCAAACAAGACGAGAGTACTGAATACATTAGGAACCCTAGGAGCTAATACGGCTATCTTTATGCTCCCCTGCTGTTTAATGCTGACCATTTAGACAAGCTAGCGGAAAGTTCCTTTGCCCTAGGCCGTAGCTTAACCTTCAGAGCTAACGAACAACCTTTTAATATGGTTTTACAATTTTCAAACATACTCAATAGTCTTAAATCCACTTCTTGCACTTATGATTTAACCGAAGGGGCCTCACTAACAGATCTGCTTCAGAGGACAGTCTGACCGGACCGCTATCTCAGCTCTGCTCTTCATTTCCATCTACTGCACTCTACTTACTGTCACTTTGCATGGCAGACATTTACATTTCAGTTCACCTTATATGCTCAGGACACTGTACACAATGTTGTCTGTTGCTAAGGACTCAGCGCCCAGTTTACATCCTTGAATAATACTTATACAAACAGTCACTGTTGCTAAGGACTGAACGTTCACTTTTCTCCGCTGTATTGTCCATTGTTCTGGTATTAGTGAAGACGAAGTGAAGTTTCTTTACTTTATTGCATTGTCTACTGTATCATGTACCAGCTTTTATACTCCTGCCTTATCCCCCTGTTCTGTGTTAAAGGGGAATTACAATGATTTTTACAAAATTTCAGCATAATTCAAACGTTAAGATGTAAACAAAGTCAGTGGTTTGATGCGAAATGCTCCAGTCAGAGAAAATGACCATGTCAGCATTGTCCAAAATGGTAACACTAGGAACCAGACTTCCAAAGTATTTAGTATCTCTGAAGCTGCCTCACAACAAGCTGTTACTTGAAATGGTCAATTTTAAATTATTAAACTGTGTTTATGATAGTTTTAAGATTAGTTTTTGGTCTAAAATGTATTTTTTCAATCATGGCAGACAAGTACATGTGGGTCCATGAACCCCACTCCTGTGTCAGCTAAACCGTCCGACAGGTTATTTGCTGTCATTTGCTGTCACATGGGGGTTTTGCTTTGCCTTTCTGGCTACAACACGAGCAGTTCTACTTGAGACTTAAATCCAGATCTTGCCTTGACTTTCACAGTTCCCCTTAACCGCTCTACGGCAGATGTTCCATTTGCGTCACAGCACCGCTGTCCCCACCCTTACTGCTGCATCATGAAACAGCGCTCCTGTCAAGTTCTTTAAAGAGGGAGACATAAACTTTTATTTTTTTTATTTATTTATTTTTCATTTACTAGAGCTGGAGATGCTTCACCGCCGGCTACTGATAAGATTGTATTTATTTTTTTGTTTTACATTTGTATCGTTAGCCATTCGCCTCAGTTTAAACCCAATACCTATATTTAAAAGTGTCTCCTCAGCCGCCGTTCGCTCCTCTGCTGACGTTGCCATGTTCTCGAATCTCTGCTGGCACAGAGTGAACCTCTGGATATCTTGGCTGGCAAAGGATCTACCTGTTGGATCCTTTGTTGCCATGGAAAAGAAGGACACATTTCTCAGTCACACATTAAGGAGCCTTTGAAATGGGACAGCCTAGTCGTGCCGCTGTGACGCAATCAGCCTTCAAATGCAGCCTCTGAAGGACGCAGCCCCTGAATTGGGACACTATAGCTACAGCCTTTGTAGGTATCTGTAAGCTTCGTTTTCAGATCGTCAGGCAGCTCTTTAAGGGGGCCCATGGTTGTTAAGTGTTATTAAGCTCTTTAAAACTGGATCTTTAAAAGTGAAAGGGTGTCCAAACTTTTGCAGACATGTAGATTCAGAGGTCAATTTGGATGGTAAATAATTTTTTGTGTTGCAGATATTGTGACACCTGGTTCCTCTGACCAGAAATAAAGAAATAAAGAGCTGGTTTCTCTACAATGGACTACGTCGCAACGATTGAGTTACGCAGGCGTTTTGAAAAATCACTGGAATTCACCTTTAAATGTAACACTGTGGAACCATACTGGACATCTACCAGTCCCACTGCCTCAGGAAGACCAAAAAGATCCGGTCAGACAGCGTCACCCAGCACACAGCCTGTTCACCATCCTGCCATCAGGCAGGAGACTTCGTAGCATACAGGCTAGGACAACCCGGTTAATGAACAGTTTCTACCCACAGGCTGTCAGGCTTCTGAACAAGCTGTGAAGCTGTGGGTCCTTCACCAACTACCAGCTCACTCAGTCACTTTGTCAGCATTATTATTATTATATTATATCATCTCTGCTATGGACAATAACACTTTAACACTAAGCCACTTTAAAGAACAATAACACTGAGTCACTTAGTCACTTTAAAATGTATATTGCCTGTATATTTGTGTACATTTCTCTATATTTTGTTATTTTGAGTATATTTAATATATTTCAGTTTGTTTTTCTTGTATTTTTATTTTTACTTATTTACTTTCTGTAGAGTGATTGTCTGAGTCTCACCACAAGCATTTCAATGCATAAATGTCCTGACATGTTGTGCAAATGACAAATAAAACTTGAAACTTGAAACTTGAAAAACTCACTGAACACATGGCTGCAGTGAAAGGAAGGACGAAGTGTGACTTGACTTGACTTGAAAGCGCTGCTGGCTGCTCTGTTCAAAACCTGTGCAAGCCCAAACAGAGCATCACTTCAAAAGGCCCTGAACCTGGAAAACGGAAACAGCTTTGTCCACCTGTATCATGAAGGACCCTGACTGCCTTTCACAGAACGTGAGAGAACAAATGAAGTGGAGGTTGAACAAACCTGCTTTGCTAATCAGATCGTCTAGCTCTCTCGGGGGAGAGAAAGTAAACAGTGAGTTACTGATAGGAGAGGGCGTGCCGTCCGAGCCTGAGTCCTTACTCGACAGCACTTACAGAGACAGAGGGACATTAATGAACACATGACTGCTGAGAGACGAACAACAAAAAAACAGGACACAAACAGAGGTCACTGCTAGGGTAGGGCTTATATCGCTGAGAAGCAATGCAAACTGACCACTCACACAGACCGCAGGAAGGCCTTGACTCGGTCATGCGTTCACCACCCGTTTTATTCCCACCTATCAGATTAGGATTAACAAAAACTGACTTTAAGGAAAAGCTCTGTCAGTTTCACCCAGCTGGGCTTCATAAGAATCACAAAGGAGCATTTATCCACTTCCTACTTGGCGTCTGTCACAGTGTCTCGCAAATCTGATTAAGGATATTTAACCTACAATCTAAAGAAGCTCCCTCTTCAGTTTCTGAACTGCTCTATTGGTTTCAGCAGTTTTGTCCAGAATAATCTTATAAATCATAATAGGCCGAGCTCTCGACACAAAATTTCTACATACGTTTTAATTCAAACACAGCCATTCAGAGCAGATTACCATTCAAGAGAAACTTTCCATCCTGGATTTCTTTCTTTCGAGTGGTGGTGACAGAAACCAGGGGTCATGATGTCCACAATGCGAATATAATCATTTTATTTACCATCAAAAATGGAGTAGACCTCCACATATTATCTGAGGTTTTATTTGTAAAGCTTATAATCTTGAAAAAATGTATTTAATTTGGGGACTAGTTTGCATTAAAACACCCTGCATGCACTTATTTCCCTGCTCTGAATGTATAAAATGTGTTCAGATGAAATGAGGGGTGGGCAATACGATGATAATTTAGTGTTATTGTGACATACAGGCACAATATGCTTTTCTGAGCATGTCGTGTATATAGTCAGTACTTAAAGAGCACTGACTAACTACGTTTCATTACACGGTGAGGCTTGTTTAACCTGATTTAGCACAGTTTGTAAAACACTGTAAAATACTGCAGATATTAGGTTTGATTTTGTCTGTTCCAGCTTTTTATTCGTATCTCAGAAAATCAGTACTGTGGATTGTGAAGATGCCTTTCAGTATCGTGCCATACTGCCCACAAAACTACTGGCAAACAAAGTCTGAGACCTCAAGTAGTGTATTTGGTACTACTTCATGCAGGTGAGGGAGCTATTTAGAGGCATTAAACTCTCCGGACGTCTGGTTCCTATCGCCCCCACTGTGAACAACTTTGATTCAGTAATTTCTCCAGAATAGACCATTTCGTTTCAGACCCGCTCCGAATGACTTTGTGTACATAATAATGGTTTAATTATGCCAAAATGTTGAAAAATCACCAGACTTCACCTTTGAGTTTAGTGTAACCTCATATAACACCCCTAACTAGGCTTAGGTGTCAGTTTATTGACGTACAGGCCCCTCTAATGTCCAACCAAAGCAAAATGGCATCTCATTTAATTCAGCAGCCACTGTCCTTGTGGCCACTTAGCCTTACAAAGTGAGATAAGTGAGTCCACTTACGACTTGCTAAAGAATCCACCAACAGTGCTGCCCACGAAGAGACAGAACTGCTGGGCGAAGAAGACCAGGGTGATGCCCTGCAGGGTGGCCTGGGTCTGGCAGCGCAGGTCCAGCACGGTGGGGCCCAGCAGGGCCAGGCACAGGCCAAAGCTGAAGAAACCGCTCCAGTAGGTTAGCGTGTGCTGCCAGTGGCTCCTGAACAGAGCCCACATGCGCTCGTCCACAACCTTCAGGATGAGGTTGCAGTTGCGGTCGAGCACCCTGCCGTTCATGGTGACTCGGGCCTGGACTTCACTCACGGACAGCGGAGAACACGGACAGACGCTCCTGCATGGCTTTAGGAAGCGGCGCGTGTGAGGCGTGGCGCTGTGAGCTCGAGCGCCTCAACACCAGCTCGGTCCACCCACCGCATCCCCCCTCTGAGGGCTTCCACATCGCTCTCTGAGGAAACAGTTACACACTATTAACCTGCTCACTACCGGGAAAACACGCTGTGAACAGACACGGACTTTATTTTTACTGCTGATAAACGAGAAAAGGTTCAGCTGGGACGTCTAATTTAGCATTATGCTGGCTAGCAGTCGATGCAGTGCCTCACTTTTCGCTCCAAAATGAAAACTTTCACGCACTTTTAGAATATTTTTGAACATTTCTGAAAAAATTAAATCGTTAAGATGTAGACAAAGTCATTCAGAGTGGAGAAACTTACCAAGACAAAGTTCCTCACAATGGTCGTGATGGGAACCAGACGTCTGAAGTGTCCCTTCATAAGCTCCCCTTATAGATAGATAGATAGATAGATTGACATTGTTGTGTCCCTAGCGTTTACAGATATATTTCACTTAAAAAAACATGTCAGGGTTACAATTTATTAATATTTTAAAATAAAACAATAGGTCATTTTAACAGTTCCACCTTCTTGAGCCTCAATTTAGCAATATTGGTTTTTAAATCAATCTGTCTTAGAAGTTGGTTACATTCACATTCTAGTAACTTTATCCCAAACACATTCAATGATCTTCAAAAATATCTCCTGAAAAATGAATGACTTGTACTAACTTGTATTTAAGAACAAGTTATGTCCTAAGATTTAAACAGAATATGCCATAATGTAGTTTGTTTATATGGGGAAAGACGTCAGATGAAAAATACCTGCTCTATATCTGCCACATTTACCTGAGTCATTCTACAGAAACGTCCATTTTTGTGTCCTTAGCGTTTACAGATATATTACACTTGAAAAACCTGCCAGGGTTACAATTTCTTTATATTTCAAAATAAAACAATTATTATAAAAAATTATAAAATAAGTTATTTTAACAGTTGCACCTTCTTGAGCCTCAATTTAGCAATATTGGTTTTTAAATCAATTATATAGAAATCCAAGCACCACAGAAGAGCTCGTCCTCACAGTCGTGTGTGAAGGCTGAGGCCATATTTTGAATTAAAACGTTTTTCTACAATTTTAACTACAATAATCTATACATGACTATGAAATATATGAATTAAATGACACAAAGAAAACAAAAGCCAAATAAATATTCTAAAATATATAATGAAAGCTGTGGTCCCCAGGAGTCGTGTCACTGGTGTTACCGCATAACAAAAAATCTTGAATTTTGAAATAAAAGTCACACTGATGACATCACTTGACTTCCTTTTACCTGTTTTCTGAGGATCTATGAAGAAAAGCACATGGTGAGTCCACTGTGTCTTTCAGTTATCAGAGATTTTCTCATTTAGCTCATGATTTCATATGAAGTTTTAGCTGAAGTCACTGGTGTGACCGACTTTATTCTGAGGTAATCATGAAAAAATAGAATACAGATGGATTAAATTACATATTTTAGTGGATATTCCGTGATTGACGACATGTGGTTTGATGCTCTGCAGCAGTTATTTTGTTAAATGTATTTTTCATTAAAAATGTCTCTGGTGTTACCTTTATTATGTGTAACACCAATGAGGATCAGTGACACCAGTGACTCCTATGGAGAGACATTTCTGTAGGATGATCCAGATAGATACATAGATACACAAACAAACATGATATAAAATATATATTAATATATAAATATATAATATTTATATTCACCACACTGGTTAACTGTCTGCTCCCATGCACTACACTTAAAATTTGCCCTGTGCTACAAAATATTGTGGTGGGTCCAGCAGGAATGTAGAACTCTCATTCAAAGAAAAAGTTCCAGGTGAAATAACTGTGTTTCATTATGTTGGCTTAATTTCTTTGAATTAACCAAACACAGACATTTAAATGAAGAAAATAACACTGTTTATTTACAATATATACAATATATACAAAACACAATATATATTTTACATCTATAATAATAAATCGTTATATATTCACTTCAACATTATTTATTTATAAAGTGCTTTACAGAAATCCGGGTCCATTCTTCATAAAATTTACACACAATATAAAGGACAACAGGTATTTTCAAATTATGTCAAAAACTGAAAAACGACAAAAATGGAGATACGAGGTTTTGTTCCGACAGCAGTGATAAGTTTGTTTAATGTAAACTATTTATGTTCAGCTCAGTTTCGTCTTACTGTCTTTCAAAACAATTTTATCAATAATAAGTTTCTTTATTACTTTGTCATTTTTTATGTCTAGTATGTTTATTCTAAAGCATAAATCAAAAAGCAAATTAATAAAAATTCTTTCAGTTTTCAGCCAGAAATTTAAACTTTTAATTTTAACTGTATCATTACCAAAGTATTAAGATATACAGTTCCAGGGACGAATCCATTAAGATCCCCTGCAGAGTAAGAAAGGAAAGGAAGGGGGAGATGGAGAGGAGAGACAGGCTACAACAATAAAAATAAACTTTTAAATCTCCTAAGCAGTTGTGAAAAAGCTACTGACAAACAAAATAACAATTAACCAATGTATAATCTTACCTTATCTTACCTTAATAAGCAGAAATAAACACATTAAGCACACAATATGGCATATGTCCAACATTATACTATTAAATGCGATTATAAATATATACACTATTAAGTGCAATATACACTGAGATGCTAGTCTATTAGGTACACCTTCACTCACTGGCCATTTAATACCCTACAGGTCCACTTGGTGCACAAGTTATCAGCACAACACAAAATGACCACCGCTAATTTGTTATTATTTGGGTGGTGGCAAATTAGGGTGGTGCAGACTTGTCGGTGTGACTTACTTTGAACTATAAAAATCACTACATTTCAGTGAACATAATGGTTCGGAAATGGAGATCACAGACGCTTTAGTCATTAAAAATTGGCTGCTCAATTTATAAAGCACTTAATAGGACAGTTAAAATGGCAAATGGTACATTGGACTTACTCTGTACAATATATACAACTATATATGAGGCTGTCGCCTCATCCTGACAGAGAAAATCAGGCTGGTATCAAAAGAGGAAACCAAAATAGCCAGACACCACCGAGGCTGATTCACATAGTTTCACTGTAAGTAAAACTGATTTGCTGACTCACTTCACTCAAAACAGTAAGAAAATAGTTCTACTCAGACACTGGAATATATGTCCAGACATGACCTGTATGAGCCTTTTCAGTCTGGCTTTCGGCACTTTATTTCCAAAAACAGACACAAATCAAATAGTGTTTCTCAGGGTGTCCCACAGGGATCTGTTTTGGGCCCTTTGTTATTTACTATCTTTACTACTTTTCTGAGGCTGAACTGTGAGAAGACTGAACTTAGTGATGATGTTGTAGTCATTTCTCATCCAGTTCATAATCTAGGCATTACTTTTGACCACACTTTGTTTCTGAAATTCCATATCTCTTCAGATTTATAACTGCACTACCCTTTCTTCTTTCAAATCTAAGCTCTTCATACAGTGTTATCCTACTCAAAGCCAAAGTCTGTTGCGCACCTTTTTCTCTTACCCATTTATTTAGTTTTGCACTTTGTCTTTTCATGTTTTATATCGTACAGAGAACTTGGTTATGAGAAAGGTGTTCTATTATCATTATTACTGATATTCACTTGAGATATTAATGCTGTTGGTGTACACCTTACCTGGAGCACGAATAGATATTGCTCAGCCCTTGGTCTACTCTCCGCACTGACGGGAGAAAACGAGCATATCATTGAGATCAAGTGCTCAAGGAACCCTCCAGGAGGCTGGAACAATGGGAGAGAAAAGTTAATGAGTAAATAAATAAATAAGTAAATAATTTGCAGTTCTTGTGGCTCCATAATAAAAAAATAAGTAAATTCTGAATAAGAGTCTGTATCTAGAATCAAGTTCTGCACCTTACATTCTAATAATATGACTCTATCTATATGGAGAGCAGATCTAGCTTCTAGTACACAGCATAAAGTCACACTTGGTTATAAGGCGGAGTCTCTTACTGGGAATATGGGAGGTCTCGATCCTTGCATCACTCCCATCAGCACCAGCTCATAAACAACGTCTATGAGGTTGAAGTGATGAATCTATGAGGATAACAAACATTAGTGTCCAATCGTTATGGTAAAAAAGCTGACCAGGTGGTGAACAAAGACCAAAAGAATGTGAACCTACCCCGATCTGCGCCAGCTCTGAGCAGATGGCTTCCCGGTGCGAAGCATCCTGAGCGTAAGCCACCAAGTGGTCGGAAGCCTGACGGAAGGCTGGAAGATCCTGCAGAAGACAGAGGTATGTTTGTTGTAGAGCCACGACAATTAATCAATTAATCGATTAGTTGTCGACTATTAAATTATTCAGCAACTATTTTGATAATTGATTAATTGGTTTGAGTAATCTTTAAAGAAAAGTAAGTAAAAATTCTGATTCCTGCTTCTTAAATTTGAATGTTTTCTGGTTTCTTTACTCCTCTGTGACATCAACCTGAATATATTTGGTATATTATTGACATGAAAATCATATATAAATATAATATTATTGATAAAAAAAAACATTTGAGGACATCATCTTGGGCTTTGGAAAACACTGATCGACAGTTTTCACCATTTTCTGACATTTTATAGAACAAACAACTAATTGATTAATTGAAAAAATAATCAACAGATTAATCAACGATGAAAATGATCGTTAGTTGCAGCCCTAGTTTGTTGCTTATTCACAAGATCGTTGCGATTACACAGTTCTGATCACAGTTGGGTGAATGTTTTGTGCTACCCTGGCATTCCGAGCAGCCAGCCCACCAAGAAGGACCCTGCCAGCCACACAGACATACTTCTGATGATGTCTGTTGCTCAGAACAATCTATAGAATGAAATCAGGAAAAGAACAACTGGTGAAGGACTGGTATATAAACACAGAGCTCCTGAGAACTGAGAATGTGGTTGACGTACAGAGGA